AAAAAAAACTTGCCAAGAAAACCCCCTTAGAGTCACCATAAGTCAGAAATGACATGAAGGCAAGCAACAGCAGTCTTATACTTTGTTAAAACTAAAGCAACTGTTTGTTAAAAGCAACCTGAGTCGTTTGTACACAGAATCCCTGCTTTGGAAAACGCAATGAGAGATGATTTGGGGAAAGCAAAAATTAAAAATAAAATAAAATCCTGAATTCTTCCTTTTGGGATTTTCAGAATGTTGGGATTTCATGGGGAGGGAATGAGGGGGAGCACATGAGCCCCCAAATTCCAGCAGATCCTTCTGTCTTTTGTGTGTAAGTGTGTGTTTGTGTATCTCAGTAAATCAGGCTAGGCACCTGGAATGCAGGTGGGTGCAAGGACTACATGTATTGACCAAAAGACCACAAAACAAGGGGATAAATCAATAGGAAGTATCCAGACATCTGTTTCAGATTTTGAAAAACAGTTTCTAAAAATGAAAAGCAGTGCATTGCGGTGGGCTGTTAACTTGTTTAAAAGGTAAACCCCCATTCCTAGAGACTTCCAGGAGACACAATTTCACGCTCTTTTCCCTATAAAATGGAAGATCAGGGATGCACCCAAACTCTGAGTATCTTTCTATCTGCTTGGGCACTAAACCATGTTGAGTATGAAGTATAAATTGGACTACTGGAATGATTGATGAGCGTTGGGCATGCTTCAGTTATGTTTTGCAAAACCCACAAAACCAATTGGACTGCATTTCATGGATGTTGTTCCCTTCTTCATCTCTGCTTCATCTTTGTCAGGTTGGCCATCTATCGGGTATGTTTTGATTGAGAGTTCCTGCATGGCAGGGGGGTTGGACTGGATGGCCCTTGGGGTCTCTTCCAATTCTGTGATTCTAGGTACAAACTCATGCATGTGCACACAATGGTCTGGGCTATGCCGGTTGTGGGGTGTTGACAAGCAGCTGAAGGCTGCCTTTGTGTGGGGCCTGAAAGTACAAAAATAAAATAATAAAATTATATTTCCACCTCTGATCTTTAAGCCACAAATGATTTTTGGATGCTTTGTATCCCAGTTCTGGAAAGTTCACATTGCCCAAGATTTGGTTGTTGCTGTGCACCTTCATGTCCTTTCCGACCTACAGTGAACAAAGGCAAACCTATCATGGGGTTTTCTTAGCAAGTTTCTTCAGAGAGGGTTCACCACTGCCGTCCAGTGAGGCTGAGAGAGTGTAACTTGCCCAAGGTCACCTAGTGGGGCTTTCTGGCCAATCCGAGATTCAGACCCTGATCTCCAAAATCCTTGTCTCTTGGTCCAGCACTGAAACTATTACATGATGATTGCGGTGGTAATATTTAGATCCTGATCTCAAAACAATGTAAACTACACTCGTCCCTCCACATTTGCGGCTTTGATTATTCATGGATTTTATTAATATGTTCTTTTTTAGGAATATCTAGGTCCTCCAGCACAACCTATGGTCAACTTTAACCAAAAGTCGCATTGAAGGACCTAGAGATTCCTAGAGATAACACTTTGCTAGGCATTTGTAGCTCCTCCAGAGCAATTCTATGGTCAATGTCTTGCAGATGTTGACCACAGAGTTGCACTGGAAGACCTAGAGATTCCTAAAGAGGTGTTCTCTAAGATAAAAACATCATGTTTTTGTTATTTGCGGTTTTTCCACATTCACAGGGGTCCTGTGCCCCTAACCCCAGCGAATGTAGAGGGACAAGTGTATATCCTTTAAAAAGATTAGGAATCAAAATAGTATGACGCATTGTTAAAATCCCTTTCCTTGTAAGCAGTTCTTAAAAGCCTTTTGGAATAAAAGGCTTCATTTGTTGATGAAAGGACAAGCCACCCTTCCCTAGGAAGGAAATTCCAGGCCTGGGAATAGGAAACATTCCAGATAAATCTGAATATTTAATATCAGCTTTGCTTTTCTTCCCCAAAACGAGGAGAAATCAGTTATGGTTTGATATGTGTTCTGCTTCTCACTTTGAATTTCCTCAAAACCTCTGCAAGCTATGAAGAATTTGTCTTGCTGGTAGTGACTATAAGTAGAACAGACGTCTTGATGCATTTATTGAGTTGGTGCCAGAGATCCAGGAAGGTGCAGTGTATATAAAACTGAGAGCTTAAATGAGTCTAAATTATGTAAAATATTACCTTGTTGGTTTTCTTTAACGCATGCATATACTTCTTTGGGCATGCATGCCTCACTGCAGTGCTTTCAGCTGGAAATGTATAATTTTTCCTTCTTAGCAAAGGGAATCTTCAAGTGTGGCTTAGTTTTCCAATTGTGGCACGCATTCCCATTATCACTTCTTCTCTAGCATTGTAGGAACAGAGTTTGTTGAAGCCCATATGGCTGAAGAGGATCTAGCAAGGCAATAACATCTTTTCAGTCTTAAAAAAAGTGTACAGTCTGTGCTCTATGCTGACGGTAACAACAAAATGTGATGCTATGGTATACATACATGATAGAAATCTGCTTGGCTTGTGTAATATCTGATTTTCCTGAAATGTGTACTGCACAGTTCTTGCTACTTTGCTTAATTCTTGTTTTTGCTAGTAGCAGGATAGAGAGATAAGTAGATGACACAATACTATTAACAGAAACAAAGAAAGACCTGGAGCAACTGGGTATCAAAAACCATGGATGCTCAATTCCCATTAAATACAATGGCATAGGAGAATGGTGTTCCTTATATAAAATAGCAAAATCCAGGTTTGTGTTTTTTTATATATATATATTCAAGACATGGATGCTTGAATGCGTGGGTAAAAAATCTATGGATATGGAGGGCTAACTGTATATGTATGTTTTTTACCTTTGCAAGCTGTCTTGAGTCCTATCTTGAGAGAAGGCTCTGTTGTTGTTATTGTTGTTGTTGTTGTTGTTATTGTGCGCCTTCAAGTCATTTTGGACTTACGGTGACCCTAAGGCGACCCTATGATGGTTTTTTTTTTTTTGGCAAGTTTCTTCAGAGGGAAGTTTGCCATTGCCATCCTCTGAGGCTGTAAACCAAATAAATAAATAGACTGCCTTTTGCATGCTAGAATTCAACATTCAAGAAGTGTTTTGGGATTTGTAGAGGTGCTGTTTTGGGTAGCAACTTTTTTTCAAAGTTTTTTTAATTACTTTTTTCTTAGCTTTACAAAAAGAAAAAGAAAACATTTAAAACACACGGTTATCAGCATATATGTATAACATTTGCACCTATCTGTACACACTTTGCACCTATCTTTACACACAATAATATCATCGTATCTTAGTAACGCTTCCAATCACCAATTCTCCCCGAAACTAACAATCATTATACATACCATAAATTTCTTTCTATTCCCTATTCCTTAATCTTAATCCTACTTATTTTAATCTTCTACTCCTTCTTTCTTCTCATCCTTCCTTCCTACACTCCCTACCTTTCCCTTTCCCTTTCCCTTCTCTATCTGAATTCCTTCCTCTACCTTCTTCATTCTCCTACCTCTTCTCTCATCATATTTCCATCCCTTCCTCTTTTGTTCTTCCTTTCTTCCCCCACATTCTCTCTTGTTCTCAAAGTTTTATTCAAGGGTGCCTGCCGATGGTTAGAAAATTGCCTAAAAGGAAGATGGGGGTTGTGTTTCAAGTGTGTCGGGAAGGATTCACCCATACACAAAGCCCCATTGTTCTCTCGACATTGCATTGCTGGTTGCTAGAGTCATGTATGAACCAACCCAATTGAAAAGCATTCTGCAATGAGGTGAGGTGAGTGAGTAAACCTAGAACCAGCATGGATGGTGGTTCCTCTTTGGTACTTTCACATACACAAGGCAGGGGCTGATGCCGCAGCCATCAAGTGTCATACCTGTGACTCCTCCTGGTTATGAAAGAAGACTTGTTTTACTGCTGTACTCCATGGAATATCAATCCATGCCCATTTTCTTCCG